CTTCTATATGCATCCGAAGAAGTGGGCTGTAGTCCACGAAAGCTTATGCTCTAATAAATTTGTTAGTCTCTAAGGTGCCACAAGTCCTCCTGTTCTTCTTTTTGCGGATACAGACTAACACGGCTGCTACTCTGAACCAAACTGTAAACCCTGTATATGATGGAAACCACTTCAGTTCCAGCATCTAGGAGCCTTTGTGAAATCGGGAGCCACACGAACAGGTTGATGTGTAGCCATTGTGCCTTGGTGTTTGTTTACTGTAGGCCTGAAGGACTCCCGTCAGGGATCAGGGCCCTTCTGAGCAAGGCACGGGATATGCAGTCACTGCCCCAGAGAACTTGCAGACTCCAATTCTGACAATAGATGGCAGATGAATGAACAGGGCTGGGATAGCAAAGTAACAGAAGAGAGAGGTGCGTCTGCCTATGACAGGACTCCCAGGGGTCTCAGTAGCCACACGTAGTCACTGGCCTTGCCAAGGCATCCAAGCAGAGGTAGGTTTTAAGGAGGGATTGAAGAGAGAGTAAGGGGGAGGCTTTGCGAATTGTGGCCTGCAGAGCGTTCGTTCCCATGTGTGGAGGGAGGCATGAGAGAAAGCGTGGGGGCGTCTGTGAGGAAATCAAGCGAGTGGGCAGTCGAGGATGGCGTTGGCAGAGTGATTGGGGAGGGAGGGGTCAGCGTTGCCCTAAGAAATCAGATCCCCAGATGGTGAGCGTTGTTAGAAGGCAATGGCGCGACGTGGTGAGGTGCTGGCCCTAGATTGAAAGTTAGGGTGGGGCTCAATGGTGGAGGGCCTTGAAGGCAGAGGCCAGAAGAAGCTTTTTCTTCATGTGGTTTCCTCTTCCATGCTGCAATGCCTCTTGGCTAGAAGGAGGAGATCATCCCGATGTAACTCCGGCCCATCCAGGCATGGGTTGCTTTGTAGACACTGCTCTGTGCTGCCCTGTGTTTGTTTTAGACTGTAAACTCTGTGTTTTCTGCTGTGTCTGTACAGTGCTGAGCACGTTAGCAGTGCTCAATAAATCACCACCACCCCCATTATTGTGTCTGCAGAGTAATGGCAATGTTGCCTCCTGGTGGCTTCATAGGGGAGAGTCAAGGCTCGGCCCCTTGGAAAATCCGCCTCCTTTCAGCTGTTTCAAATTGATTACCCCAAAATGGTGTCCCTCAAAATCAAGGCCTACTTTTGAACATTCTGGCCTAAGTTTCTTGGTGGTAGGCTACCCCCATTCCACCAGTTCCCTTCTGGGGTATCAGTAAGTGGCAGAAAAGGGCCTGAGAAGATAGTGTTTGCAAGGGTCTGTCTACTGTAGATTTGTGCTCAGGAGTTAACAGCAAGAACTGGGTGAAACTCAATGGCTTGTGTATGCATGAGGTTCCGCTGGATGATCACAGTGATGTCTTCAGGCCTTAAAATTGAGGCCTTTCTGAATCATGGGCCAGGATTAGTAAATCTCACCTTGGTTGAGTAGACTGGGCAGCTAAATGGCAATGGCACCATTCTTGGCCTGAAACATACCTATTCGGGGTCGTGAGTGTGATGTAGGAAGAGTGGTACCTCTCTGGTAATGTGACTTATTGGGTTGTGTTTACATGAGCTTTCACTCTCTCCTACTGGAATGTTGACAGCTCTTCTTATAATGTACCAGGATTGAACATGACACTAGCCTGAGCTTTGCTACTTGCCTTATTCTATCTTCTGCCAAGTGCCAAAAATGCACTTCTAGACCAAGGG